TATGTGTATATGCGTATGTGTATGTATATGTGTGTGTGTGTATGTGTGTGTGTGTGTGTGTGTGTGTGTGTGTGTATGTGTGTATGCGTATGAGTATGTGTGTGTAGGGATGTGTGTAGGTCTTATCTTTTTTTTAAAACACCATAATGGCACTGTGTAAGACAGCCACCTGTCTGAGACAGAACTTTTTTCTTCAACGCAGGAACTAAACCACAATCGGGTGGGACCGGCAGAATGCAAAGGAAACACTTACATGAACCCAATATACGTACTGTGACAATCTCTTTATAATAATGAAACATTTAAGGACCAAGGACATAACCCACCAGGCACTGCGATAATTTCTTATATATATAACGAAACATCCAAGGACGTAGGACATTAGATCAGATCTATAACATGCCAGGCACTGCCAACAATTTCTAATAGCGAAACAGCCAAGGACGGAGGACATTATGATAACCCAACAGGAACTGCGACAATTTCTTATAATATGAAACATTCAAGGACCACGGGCATAACCAACTAATCACTGAGACATTTTCTTATTATAAAACATGAAAGGACCAAAGACATTACCCAACACGAACTGCAACAATTACTAATTATAACAAACATCCGAGGACCAAAAACATATAACCCACCAGGAACTGTGACGATTTCTTACAATATGAAACAACCAAGGACCACGGACATAACCAACTACTAGTCACTGAGACATTTTCTTATATAAAACATGCAAGGACGAAAGACAATTACTAATAACGAAACATCGAAGGACCAAGGACATAACCCACCGGGAACTGCGACAATTTCGTATTGTATGAAACAACCAAGGACCAAGTTCTTATACTTATAATATAACGAAACATGCAAGGGTCGAACCCACAGCGTAAATCTACGGCGACAATTTCTTCTATAAAGAGACATGCAAGGAACGTAGAGTGACACGAACCAGAGCCACAGCCTCTCAGCTCAAAAGATCACATTACATCCTGGTCAGGTTACTCATTTTAGCCTTTCGATAGAGATAACGATCTCTCTCTCTCTCTCTCTCTCTCTCTCT